TCGCTCTCCCTCTCTCCCTCCATCTCCTCTCCCCTCTCTCTCTCCCCCCTCTCTCCCCCTTCAGGCTGCAGAAATCGACCCGGTTTAGACGGTTTTTAAACAACACACGATGTTTACGGTGGAAACTGTTTTCCAGGAACTAGTCTGTGCCAACTGTTGATTTCCACATCTGCAGCTCGTATGTGATCACATTAGTCAACATCTTTCCCTGAAAGAAAACGACAGATTCTGGGGAGAAGAAAGCTGAAAGCAACGACTCAGGCTGCACAATAACCACAGAGCGATCACATGTTCACTGAGTCCCAGAAGTACAGAAACAACTAAGCTCGAGCAAAACGTCCCTGAAAAACTCCACCTAATGATCTCAAGTGAAGAAAAGTCACATTTTAATGCAAAGATGTGACTTAGTGCGATGTTGGTTTAATGTAAATATGAAAGTGCAAATCATTGGAAACTGGATACACTGGATGATTACAAAACAAAAGCAGTGTTTCCTCTACCATTGTCTTGGAGGGGCGCCAACGCCAACGGAGCCCCGCCAACGGAGCCCCGCCAACGGAGCCCCGCCAACGGAGCCCCGCCAACGGAGCCCCGCCAGCTTAAGATGGAAACATGTCAGGTTAACTTGGACCTCCGGGGTGGTCTCACTATGGAGGAGTGGATTGAGCAGTGCCTCTCTCCAGAAAGAAACCACGACATGCAGAGCTACGTGAAGAGCAGGTAGACCAACTGGGACCCAAACGAACAGAACACCATGAAGCAAACACAACGGGCCTGTAAGTGCTTTGAAGACTGGCGTCAGGGTAAAGCTGGGCAGACTTTCAGACGTCTCAATAACATGTTGACAGATTTCTATGAAACTGTCAAATAATAACAGCCAAATAATGGATCAACGCTCTCTGTCTAATGTGTCCGCTAGCTGTTAGTGTTGTTGCATAGCAACCACCTCGCACTGTGTTTCGTGCAGAAGGCAACAGAGGGACTATTTTATTTTGAACATCATTATTTACTAATAAAAACTATTTAAATTAGAGTGAGTATTTTTCTTTCATATTGCCACACTTGGTAACCGTTTTATAAAAGCAATAGCTCACTTCAGGCCGTGGTATATGCTCATTACATTACATTACATTACATGTCACTTGTTAGACGCTTTTATCCAAAGCGACTTACATACTCAATACTGTGGACAATCCCCACAGGAGCACTTTGGGGTGAAGTGTCTCAGGGACACAACGACATGCTGACTGCAGAGGGGTTTGAACCTGCTCCCCTGATCCCAACACCAACGGCTCTATCCACTGCGCCACACGCCTCCCATATATCACAGCTAAGGGGCGTGGGTCGGCCCGACGCGAGGCCCAAATATGTATATATGTTCATTTGAATTAATTTCTTATTTTAGAGTTACTTAACTGATTGTAGTAATCTCTCAAATGGCAATAAAAGCCTTGAATCTTGACCCCCCCCCCCCCCACTCACCCTCGTTCGGGGTCCAGAGCGATGGCTCGGGGTTGGTCCAGCTCCTGCCAGAATAAAACCTTCCTCAGCTTCCCGTCCAGCTCAGAAACTTCGATCCGATTCGTCTCCGAGTCGGTCCAGTAGAGTTTCCTTCCTCTCCAATCGCAGGCGATGCCGTCGGGCGACACGAGTCCCGGCACCACCGTCTGCACCACGCTGGCTCCTGATTGGTTGAACACGGTGCGTTTGATGGCCTCCTCGCTCACGTCGCTCCAGTAAATGAGGCCCTGGTCGTAGATATAATCCACGGCCGCGGCGTCCTCCAGACCCCCGACCACCACCGAGGAGTTGTGCTTCTCGTGGGCGGCGTCCACCAGACGGAGGTCCCGCCGGTTCGCATACAGCAGCAGCGGCACGCCTGGAGGAGGAGGAAGAGGAGGAGGATGAGGATGATGAGTTATACGTGCATTTATACTGGGGGAAACAATGTGGATTCTGGGGAGAATGCACCAAAATATGCCATTTTTACAGTGGAAACGGCACGAGAATACAACTGCTATACCTGGGGGGAAAATGTGTTCATTTACAGGTGCATTTATACCGGGGAAAATATGTAAAAAAAACACAATTTATGCTGGAAAAATGCACCAAAATATGATTTCTTTCCGGTGGAAACGGTACGAGACAAATATGTTAACTGTAGAAAACACTTTTAACAGTGGAGCATATACAGAAATACAAACTCAAAAGTGTGACATAGAACTCTGTAGGAGCCAAAACGTTGATTTATTATTTGGATTATTTAATCCTTTAATGTCTGTAATGGAGTATAATTGATTGGTGTCAGTTGATCGTGATCCGCAGTCACGGCTGGGCGGAGCGGCTGATTGGTGCTGGGCGGAGCGGCTGATTGGTGCTGGGCGGAGCGGCTGATTGGTGCTGGGCGGAGCGGCTGATTGGTGCTGGGCGGAGCGGCTGATTGGTGCTGGGCGGAGCGGCTGATTGGTGCTGGGCGGAGCGGCTGATTGGTGCTGGGCGGAGTGGCTGATTGGTGCTGGGCGCAGCGGCTGATTGGTGCTGGGCGCAGCGGCTGATTGGTGCTGCGATGGCCTCAGCTGATTATACTCTGGGTTCTATTTGGGTTGTGAAGCCACACGGTTCTTTGAGCGCTGCACTGCAGAGAAGTTACGATTTGTTTATTTAAGTGACGAAACTGTTTCAACATCGTCCGGTAAGATACCTTCAATTTGTGTTTAAAGAAGAGAACGAACAGTGAAGAAATGGAAACGATAACATGCAAATAAATGTGCCAAAAACAAACAATATATCACAGCATTTAAACTAGGGAATACACACAAAAATAACAACATTTATACCGCTCAAAATACACAATTTCCAACTTAAAGATTACACTATATTCAACCGTTGAATTGCCTTCAGCTGACCAGTGCTGATGGGTCGTCCACTACACCTCTATTCTATCCAGATCTATGAAAGTGAACCCTACATTTGATCCCAAACACAGGATCGACTGAGGTCACAGCAGATCATCTGGATCTCATTTGTGATGTTTAGAGCTGTTTATTACATATGTATATCCCAGTACACAGAGTTCGCTGATTCATGAGTTTCATCAGAAAACGCTGCCAAAACTAGATGTTTTCTGACGTCTAAAGGAACACAGATTCAAAATGTGTTTTTAAGTAGACTCGGTGTAATATAGGACGTTTTTCAGCACAAAACACCACACACACTAATATTTGTCTCTCTGCAAACTTAACATCTCGGGGGTTTTGGACGTAATTTGGAAAAAACAAGACAGAGAGAGATGTCAGAGAAGTATGTTGTAAACAAGAATACATCAGCAGTAAAAATGTAAACGCTGGTCGGCTGCAGATACATTAAATAAAGCATTAATCTAAACAGAACCAGAGGGTCATTTAATCTCACTTTACTGGGTTTAGTCATCATTTGATTCTGTATTTGTATGATTTGAACACGTCTTCTTCTCTGGGTTCTTATAGAAAACGACCCGACTTCATTGTCTTTTTAACTTGTGTTATAGATAGTGTCAGGAACCATTTACATTTGACTAAAAGCACATTTAAGTTCGTATTTACTCCTAACACGTTTTTGTATTTATAACGTTGTGTCTTTGTACTAGTTGTAATTGCCTAACAGCTCTGAGTGTTTGTAAAAGTGCTTTAACTGTTTTTATTGTAAACAAATCTAGGTTTATATACGTGTACAAAACATCACAGAATTCTGAGATAAACTAAGTTGTATTCAATAGAAATGTGCAGGAAGGACCCAGCATCTAGTCACAGAACACCAACAATTAACACATAAGAAGGTTTCCCTGATCATTTCCCAGCTAAATGATCAAAACAGACACAAAATGGACAACAATTACAACAAAAAACACAAAATGAATTATTATAAAAGACACACGATAACAAAACACAGACACAAACTGATCAAAAAGAGAGACAACGTGAAACAAATAGACACAAAACAAAAACACATGAAAATCACAACACTAGCCTGTTAGCTTTGTGTTAGCATCTGTTGTGCTAATTGCTACCTAACGTTAACCCAAGTTACTAAACACAAAGTTAGCATGCTAACAAACTGCACATTTGGGTAAAATACCACATTTAATCTCAAATGTGGATTCAGAGGAGGCTAGGGAGAGAAACGGGATGTTTTCCAGCTAATGTGGCTAACACAGGCTACTTGTGGTTTTATTTTCCCGGAGCTCCAGGAGCAAAACAGGCGAAAAGCACGCATAGCATAGTGGGCTAACAGTTAGCTCCTCTCGGACCCGGAGAAAGGGCCTCGATCCCGGACACCTCTGCAGAGAAACCCCGCTGAAAAACACTGCTCCTGTGGGGCTTTAAACCACACTTTTACCCGGAAACCCTGAAAGAAAGCGGCGTGTTTAGCAGGGACTCACCTCGTATGAGAATACAGAAACTACACAACAACAGGCTCCGCAGCACGACACCCATCTTTCTCCCTAGTCGTGGCCCAGCAAGGCGCTCTATTCTCGGCCTCAGCGCAGAGCTCTCATCGCTGCTGCTGCCGGTTCCTCTGGGTCACACAATCCAAGGGGGTTTTTGCAACTAAATTGTGATTTTCACTACACAAAAAGGGTGTTAAATGATCCCCAGTGGTTCCATCCTGGCTGCTTTTGCTATAAGTGGATGCACTCTCACATTGTCCTGCAGGAGATCCTTCCGCTGTGAGGAAGCTGCTCCTCCTCCTCCTGCACCTCCACCTCCTCAGCCCTTCTCTATTGTTGTTCTGATTTCATGCAGGGTAGTGTTACAACAGCCTGGAAAACACCCCGTTGCATGGTGTTTAATGGCTTTTAGTGTGTGTGTTCTCCTGCTGTGGATTCACCCCCGGATCCTGGAGGAGAATCAGGCTGCAGGAAGGACCCTGAAGTTCGGCTTTAACACACACATTCCTGCGGGACTAGTTTGTCATGGAGGCTCCGTTTAACCCGGGACAGAGGCTCACACACCGACACACATTCAGACAAACACTGGGAACATCAAGCACTCAGAGAAAGGATTTAAAATGATAGAGATGTTGGATAAAGTAAGTTTTAACTTGGGGTAAAAGAGAGACACAGTGATTAATAACAGACACACAATGAGACAAAATGACAGAAAAAACATGCAAAATGACCAGAAAGAGACCGAAATGTCTTCAAGGAGATACCAATAGACTAAAGAAGACACATAATGACCAAAAAGATACACGAAATGAAATGTGCATGTGTAAAAATGCATAAAATAATTTCAAAAAAAGAGACACTAAACGATCAGAAAGAGACTAAAGAACAGTGACAGGAGGATAAATCATCATGTCTCACTTTTTATAATTTGACTGGGATCTATACTTATTTTAAGTGCTTGTAATCGCGCATTAAACATATTTTATTGTGAACGAAATCAGTTTGATCTGAATAGAAAATCACAGATGTTGGATAAACTAAGTTGAACTAAGGCTAGAGAACGAAGTCTGAAGATAAACAAGTGACGGTAAATACAGAATCCTCCTCCCTTTAAGACGTCAGAGAAACTGAGTCACATTTTGGAGATTAATAAATCAGCAGTGAACGTGTAAACAAAGGTCAGCTGCAGATTAATACTTGATGTATGTTTAGATTAATAAAGTATTCATCTAAACAATAAGAAATATGTTCATTTAATCACACTTTACTGTGTTTAGCAGGTCTGAGTGTAAAACAGATGGGAAATTACCAAAAAGACACAGAATATGATCGAAAACAGACAAAAAAATGACCAAAAAGACACAAAATGACCAAAAACAGACACAAAATGACCAAAAAGACACAAAATTGCACATAAACATGCAAAAGGACCAAAAAGAGACAACGTGATCAAATACAGACGTAAAATGATTATAAAAAGACGCACAAATGATCAAATAGCGGCAAAATGACCAAATATACACATAATCAAAAACAGACACAAAATGACTAAAAATAGAGCGTTTCACTTCCTCCCTCTTTTATAAGATCTTTAAAAATGTGTCTGAATGATATCGTGTTGCGTTCAGGGTCCATCCCCAGAATCAGTGAAAAAAAGGCACCACGACGATCAAAAATCACATTTTTTTAATCCTTACATGGACTGTATGCAGAAGCATCACTTCACAGACACCAAACTGTCACCATCGTGAGGTTATTGAGAACAGAGGAACATCAGCAGTGTGTGTGCACTCATCTTCATCATCGTCTTCATCAGTGTAGGAAAATAGTGCGTGGCCAGTGTACTTATGAAAAACAATCTAATATTCAAAAAGAAGCATATCATATTTATCAAAAACACAGTTAGTGCATCGAAGAGCTGCAGCGCTCGCCTTCAGTCTGCAGCCACGTGAGAAATATATATATATATATACATTTGTATATATATATATATATAGGACCGACTGTGAGGTCAATTAAAGGTTAAAAACAGGAACAAATATGGAGCTAGAGGGGGAAATATTCAGAGAAACAACGTTGGATTATTTAATTTGTGCATTTACCAGAAAAGAAAACACAATAAAAGCAAGATATTTAAAAAAAAAAAAATTAGATTTAAGTTTTAAATTTACGTGAAAAAACTGAGAAATTCTCTTTGTTTCAATTGTAGTTTTTAAAAAATAAAATTATGTTTTTTTTTAAAACATTTAAAAAAATAATTTCCATCTAATTTTGTTTGTAATTTAGAAAAAAAATCTCCAATTTTTTTTTTTCTCAGAAATGTTGGTGATATTTTTATGTAAATTAGCCACTGTAAGATAAAGGAAAACTTTCTAGTAATATGTTTTTTTCTCGTAAATTAGTCCCAAAAATGTTCCACTAATCTCTGAAATGTTGAGTTTGTTCTCTGAATTTAACTCCGGCTCCATTTCCGATCTTTTTTAAACCTTCAAGAACCCGATTCAGCGTCATGTGGACAGAAAAGCAGCACAGTGCAGAGAGTCTGAAGCATCTGAGTACAAATACATGCAGGTGTCTATACACACAACAATAATAATAATAATAATAACCCGTGAAGAATGTACAGAGGCTTCCTGAGAGTCAGGGAATAAAAATATTGCTGTTTGTTTGTTCATCGCCATCTCCACATAAACAAATACTTTTAATAATTAATAGAAATAAAAGTCTGATTAAAAGTGTTTCATTATTTTACTTAATTATGATGTGTTCTAATTATTCTAATACATGACTTTGTGATAAGATGTAAAAAATCTTCTTAAAACATGAAACTCAGCAGAAGTTTTGTTAAATTTGCAGTTAAATCGTGCAAAAAATGTATTAAAAAAGAGAGCGTTAAAGATGCGTTTGATTTATCTTATGATGCTAAACGTATTATCTCCTTCTGGGGTTTTTCCGTTTACTGTATGATAAGATATTTATCGAAATAAAATTATACAATCCTGCCATCCATGAAAGTCCACAAATGGTAATTTTCAAACAATGCAATTTGTTTATCGGTAATTTATGGAGGATTTATCCATATCAATAACTCCTATTGGGAAATAATAGTGACTCCAATAAGGTCATTTTACCGAGTGCATTATCTGTACTAACGGTACAGCTGTGAGGGCATTATCTGTAATAACGGTACAGCTGTGAGTGCATTATCTGTAATAACGGTACAGCTGAGAGCGCATTATCGTTCTTATACCACACTGACTAAATGTAATGTCTTTTGTAATAATATGTTAGGGCAATGTGAATGAACTGAGGACATTCTGTTTGGTTATTATTAAATAATGCACAGCCTTCGGCCAATCAGGATTGGACCTCACCCATTTGAATGATCATTATGTATGACGTTAGCCCTAATCAACGTCGTGAAGTGAGTTTTATTCTCAGTGTAACGCCTCTTCAGTTAAACACACGTTCTCTTATTGTGTTAGTTTGTGCTGAACCATCAGATGAACAATCATTTAAAGTCTTTTAGTCCTTTTCGAGTCCCTGTCACATTTCGTACGTTCATCGTTCGTAAATCCCAGTTAACAAATGTTGGTTAGCTTACGTATGTAGAAGCCAGATAAAGAACGTTTGTTAGCTAACGTTCGTAGATCTCAACAAACGTTTCTTAGCTAATGTAAAATCAAAAGACCATCAGATGAACAATCATTTAAAGTATTTTCCGAGTCCCCGTCACATTTCGTACGTACGTCATCCGTACATCCGAACGTTGGTGCCAGATATCAAACGTTCATTAGCTAAGGTTTGTGGATTTCAACAAACAAACTTTTCTTAGCCAACGTAAAATAAAAACACCATCAGATGAACGCTCATTTAAAGTATTTTAGTCCTTTCAGAGTCGTACGCCGTTCGTACATCCAGGCTAACACATGGTGGTGAGCTCACGTATGTAGAAGCCGGATAACGAACGTTTGTTAGCTAACGTTCTTGGATCTCAACAAACAAACAAACGTTTCTTAGCTAAAGTCAAATCAAAACACCATCAGATGAACAATCATTTAAAGTCTTTAGTACTTTCCAAGTTTCCGTCGTTCGTACATCCAGGCTAACAAATGCTGGTTAGCTAACGTATGTAGAAGCCAGATTACGTTCGTAGATCTCAACAAACAAACGTGTCTTAGCTAACGTAAAATCAAAACATCCTCCCATGAACCATCATTTAAAGCCTTTTAGTCCGTTCCGAGCTCCCGTCATTAATGAAAAACACCCCTCACACCTCGTAGTGCAGGTCGTTGAGCTCCAGTCTCGTGTAATGTCGCCGATCGAACGACTCCATCGCCTTTCGTCCGCCGACCGCTAAAGCTAGCGTTACCACGGCTAGTCCCAGCACCATAAACGCCACAACACCGCTTCTCAACGCCCCGTGAGACCCCGAGTCCTGGAGGGCGCGATCTGATTGGACGGCGTCTTTTGGGGCGACGACTACGAGATTCGCTGGCGGAGACGAACGTGTGGAGGAGGGCGGAGTTGTTGTTGTTGTAGAAATGGTGGTGGTTGTTGTTGTGGTACTTGGTGGAGAAGAATTGCAGGAAGTAGTTGTTGTGGGAAGTGTAGTAGTTGTAGTAGTTGAAGTAGGTGGAATGGTTGTTGTTGTTGTTGGAGTTGTAGTCGTAGGAGTTGTAGTGGTAGTAGTGGGAGTTGTAGTCGTAGTAGTAGGAGTTGTAGTGGTAGTAGTGGGAGTTGTAGTGGTAGTAGTGGGAGTCGTAGTCGTAGTAGTGGGAGTCGTAGTCGTAGTAGTGGGAGTCGTAGTCGTAGTAGTGGGAGTTGTAGTCGTAGTAGTGGGAGTTGTAGTCGTAGTAGTGGGAGTTGTAGTTTCAGTAGTTCTTGCTATAGCCTCTGTGATGCTAATAACAACAGGAAGTAGCGTGTTGGAGCTCTGCATTGGATGGGCGTTGTTCACAGGATGAGGCCTTACTCTCTTGGGCGGTTTATTCGGTTTTCTACCGGGTTTATTTGGCTTTTTCATGGCGGTTGTTGTGGTTGTTGTTGTGGGAGAAGTTGTTGTTGTTGTTGTTGTTGTGGTGGCTATTTCTGGAGGAACTGGAGCCATGGTGGCGAGGATGATGAAGGGTGGAAGAGGTGGTGTCGTCATGGTGGTCGTTGGTGGTGTTGTTGGCGCCAAAGTGGTGGTGGTGGTTGTTGGTTGCGTTGTTGTTGTTGTTGTTGTTGTTGTTGTTGTTGTTGTTGTACTCTGTGTGGTGGTGGGTTGTGTGGTTGGTGGTGTAGTTGGTGCTGGTGTAGTGGTGATGGTGATGGTGGTTGGTTCAGTGGTGGTGGTCGTTGTGGTCGAGGTTCTCAACGTGGTTGGATGAATCAAACCTGAGCGGGAAATAAGACACATTCGATATTAATATGATGTTTTAAAATTCAGTCAAACTAATATCTCTCTAACTGAGGGACTAACTGTTGGGAACATCCTGAATGTACTCTTCCAACATGAGAGCAACATGATAACAAAGGTATCCCAACTGTAGCTGTGTTCATGACAGGATGTATGATTACCTAGAAGAGCATCAGGACTGTTTGAGGCATATGATAGCTATGTGATTAACATGATGATTCAGCCTCTATGGAGATAGACATATGACAAGCATGATCATTTCTGACGTGGAGCTAATCTGAACTAAACTTTGTATAGTTGGAAAAGTCAGGATTTTGAGAGAAAGTCAGAATTTGTTAGGAAAAGTCAGAATTTTTTGAGAGAATCATAATTTTGAGATTTTGAGGAAAAAAATCATAAATTTGAGAAGAAATCATAATTTTGAGAAAAAATCATAATTTTGAGAAAAAATCATAATTTTGAGAAAAAATCATAATTTTGAGAAAAAATCATAATTTTGAGGAAAAAGTCATAATTTTGAGGAAAAAGTCATAATTTTGAGGAAAAAGTCATAATTTTGAGGAAAAAGTCATAATTTTTTGAAAAAGTCACAATTTTTTGAAAAAGTCACAATTTTTTGAAAAAGTCACACATTTTTGAAAAAATCATGATTTTGAGATTTTGAGAAAAAGTCAGAATTTTTTGAAAAAAAACATCATTTTGAGAAAAAAGTCAGTATTTGGTTCATGACAGGAGGTATGATTACCTAGAAGAGCATCAGGACTGTTTGAGGCATATGATAGCTATGTGATTAACATGATGATTCAGCCTCTATGGAGATAGACATATGACAAGCATGCTCATTTCTGACGTGGAGCTAATCTGAAGTAAACATTGACAACCTTACGTTTTTTAGATCTTTCTGCTTCACATATTAAAGTGGACCTATCATGCTATATTTGAATAATATAGTGTAGGGCCATACCTATATAAGGCATATTTATACTTTTTTCTTTTCAAAATACCAAACAGATCATGCATTTTAGCCATGCCTCATTTTGCTCAATTTGACATTTTTTAGCTCTGTTTTAGCAAGGGCTGATTCAGTGAGAACAGCACCACCTACAGGCCTGGCATATGTACTACAGCGTCTCCAGCGCTTTCGAACGGCATTGGCCGTGGCTGTCTCCTCCTGATTGGTGGAGTTGGCCCAATAGAGTGGCGAAGTCCCTCCCCTTCCGGTTGACCTCCATGGGACCTTATTTCGGAAAAGTTATGTATTGAAGTCAATGGAGAGAGAAAGATTATCTTTCGATCCCGTTTGAATTGTGCCACGAATTACACATATGATGTTTGTCAATTTAAAAGATAATTTTGCAAGTCAAAAAAATTAAAATGTGTCGTAAAACTGTGAAGTAACACATTTGTTTGTGTGAAAGGCTCAATGAACTCCATCTCTGGTCAACCACACACGTCACCAAGATGGCCGTCACTACTGTCTTGTCAACAAACGATTGACTCCCCTCACTATCACCACAATGAAACACATCCTGAAGAATGTCATGCAAAGCTGCCTGCCTGCCTTCCTTTGATTCTCTCTGAACTGCCTGGTCGTTTTAATGTTTAATGTCAACCATTTGTGCAGATAGCATGAAGTAGAAAAGATCGCCGATGCTAACGTTAGCGTTAGCATTTCTCCCCCGGAATTAAATGGTGTATTATAGAATGATCACACCGGTGACAGTACTATTCAAAGGGTTCACGAAATATGACTACTACTCTTACTGTTTAACACTTTGGGTTACTTAATGTTACTTCATGTTAAGGCTAATAAAAATGACAAGGCTGTAATGCTAACTAACGTGCTAGCTACTAGCTAGGTAGCTAACTTGATCAAGCCACTCCTGGTCGTTTCATCAGACGGGAAGCAAAAGAACGAGCAAGACCCATTGCTGGTATGATAACAACCTGGTACTAAGCACACAGGCATCTTGTTAAAGTTATCTTATCTTAGCCAGCGCCATATAGATAGATTATATCTATATGGCGCTGATCGTAGCTATCTCTTAGTGGAGGTAAACAATTGTGACATCACTTACGCGACTCTGGGATTTGTAGTCTTTCTAGTTACGTATTTTTCATAGTCTTATATTTCAACAGTTTTACGACAAACTGTGACTTTTTTGACATGGAAATGATTTTTTAAGATTGACAAACATCATATGTGTAATTCATGGCACAATTCAAACGGGATCGAAAGATACGTTTTCTCTCCCCATTGACTTCAATGCATAACTTTTCCGGAATAAGGTCCCATACCCCGGAAGTAAGTGGGAGGGACTTCGCCACTCTATAGCCGTAGCGCCACCGTCCTGACATCAGGACAGTGTTCAAATCTGGATCAGTTTTGATCAGATCCGTTGCAGCCCCTTTTTTAGAGATTTGGGTATGGAGGAAAATAGAGAGGGTTGTGTTTTCTGACACTTGGTGAGTTCCCTGGAACACCGGGGACACATATTCATGTAGAAAAGACGTACACAAGTGCATTTTGCATGATAGGTCCCCTTTAAATATAGATATTAGATGGATCTGAGTGGGAGGAGGAGGAGGAGGAGGAGGAGGAGGAGGAGGTCACCTTTGTAGATGTCGTAGGTGTTGATGTTGTCCTGAGCCTTCATCAGAGGACAGTCCTGCTCCACCTCGCAGTGAAACAGGAAGCAGTTATCCTCTCCCGCCGGCTTGTTGCCGTTAAACACGGCCATGTTGCATTTAGCTCCTTCAAAAAACCACAAAAAAGTCAGAATTGAAAAGTCTCGTTAGTTCAAAGGAGGAGGAAAGAGACGTCTCACGTTACGCTAGCAGTACGAAGCAGAAGCTTATTGCCAGGTCTACAGAAAACAATCAAAAAGGTAGCAGCTAACTGGAGGTTAAACACATACAGAGTTAGCATAGCTACAGAGTGAGCGTGATCATGTGACGGGGACCATGTGACGGAGGTCATGTGAGCGTGATCATGTGACCTCACCTGGCTTCACCTCCTCAGAGCAGCAGGAGAGCACGCAGTCTCTCTCTGAGGTCACGGCCCGGGCGTCCATCGCTGTGCTGGGATTGGTCATAGCCTGCCTCACGTTCACGATGGCGCTCTGATGCTGCCGCGAGTAACACGTCTCCGGGTCTAGCGCCTGTGATGTCACCAGTGATGTCATCAGTGATGTCACCACCACCAGCAGCAGCGTTGGTGAGGAAGAAGAAGGAGGAGGCGTCATGGCGGCCGCTGATCTACGGTCAGTTTTAAAGAGAGAGTCCACAAACACTAGAGAACTGAGGAGAGAGGACACGATGCGTGTTATTCATTTATCCAAATACACTTAAATATAACTTTACATATAATAATCCTACACATTGTACGTGATAGGCTAAGGGGCGGGACATCTCTGAGCGGTCGACCAATCACAACAGAGCAGAACAGAGCCCCTTTATGTTTTCATATAAACAAATATTCTGCCTAAATACATAATCTTGGGCGTTTAGCCTCAAAAACAACATGTTTATTTAATTAGAACAATGTATTTCAATGAGGCATACACTCATAAGTTATATTCAGTAAAGAAATCGGATTAAATTATAAAAATATTCACACATTTTATAAGATTTATGAAGAAAAATGTCAAGTAAATTAGATTTATTACAGGTCTTTATTTTAGCTGAACTTAATAAACATTAAATAAATAAATGCTGTGTTTGTTTTAAGGCACGTCTCTTTTTACGGATTAAACAAGTACATGACGGATTAAAAAAAGAAATAGAAAAGGTGTTAATTGGAATTATGAGGCTAATTAAATACTTACTAATTAGGGAAAGTGATTATTTACTTAATGGTAGAAAAGCATAGATAGCAAATGTATTATTATATAACAACATGAGTATTTTTAGATTTAAATCCCTTTGATGGACTTTTTTAAAAACGTCTCACTGACAGTTCTTTGACACTAAAACACCTTTTTCTTTTAAGCGTCCCAGATCTGTCTCCGCTGACAAAACACGAGCCTAAATTAGACGAATCTATCGACTCCGAGTAAAAATAGAGCGTCTCCATTTTTAGCTTTCCTCCTCAGAGCGAATCAGGTCAGTGGGTTTTATTAATAGACGGCAAAATAAGTGGAATATATAGAATAGAATATATCTCTTTATCGCCGTCATACAAAGTACAACGACATTTCTTTGGCAACTCTGCAGTAACAAATAGAGGTGGGAAGTATTGGAGTACAAATACTTCGTTACTGTTCTCAAGTACATGTTTCTGGTATCAGTACTTTACTCCACTACTTATTTTTCTGACCACTTTCTGCTTTGACTTCTTACATGTTGAACACAAATACCTGTACTTTCTACTTCTTACATGTTGAACCCAAATACCTGTACTTTCTACTTCTCACATTTTCCAAACAGGCTGGTTCCTTTAGTTTGAATGTGTGTTTGGTGGCGTGATCATTATTATTTAGAGTCATTGCGTGCCTATTGATTTGAACACGATCCGTGTATCCATCATTTCCTGGTCTTCTCTAAAGAAGAGGGACCAATGAAAACGTTGTCATGTTGCCGTTGTTCAGCATGGAAACATTCATTAGCTAACAATGACATTATTGTTCTATTAATATAAAGGGAGGTCAGGTACTCTTTAAAACAGCTGCTAGTTATGGGTACTTTTTACTGAAGTACATTTCAAAGCCTCTTTACTTTCACTTGAGGAAAGAAGTTTAGTAAGTACTTCTACTTTCACCAGAGTATTTTTAAACACGAGTATCTGTACTTCTACTTGAGTAAAGGATGTGTGTACTTTTGATATCTCTGGTAAAAATATATATCACGGTATTCATGTCCACTTTTCAAATACATGAAATCAATTATAGTTAGTATCATTTGTAAACAAATCCTAGTTGATATAAAAAGCCCAATAACTTATTTCCATAACAAACTTCAAATCTACTATTTCCACTTATTATAATCACTCATTCTGTTTTAAGGAATGAGCTGCTAACAAAATAAAGTAAACCCTCTGGAGAGCTGTTGTGTTTCTTCAAGTATAAAGAATAATGTACCTACATTTGATTGATTTGACCAACTTATAACTGAACTTATAACTTAGCTTATGAGGCGATATTAATCAGCTCTAGTGAGCCGCCGTATGTTTGGACCCCCCTGAGTCAAAGTAACCAAAGGATGGAAGTGAAATAGCCATAAATATTTCTAAATAGTAGTGACTTAAATCGAATATATTTAGTGTATTTGAAGCAAGAACTCACCGTGAGCAGCGTCCTCCATCAGAAGGTCCACAGTCCGCAGACTTTACCCCCTGCTGGGACGTCACTTTATCTGCTTTACAGCTCCTTATCTGATGGGTTTCCAGGTGTGTCTGAACAGAGAGGACAAAACACACCCTTTACTCAAGTAGAAGTACAGATACTCATGTTTAAAAATACTCTGGTGAAAGTAGAAGTACTTACTAAACTTCTTTACTCAAGTCAAAGTAAAGAGGCTTTGAAATGTACTTCAGTAAAAAGTACCCATAACTAGCAGCTGTTTTAAAGAGTACCTGACCTCCCTTTATATTAATAGAACAATAATGTCATTGTTAGCTAATGAATGTTTCCATGCTGAACAACGGCAACATGACAACGTTTTCATTGGTCCCTCTTCTTTAGAGAAGACCAGGAAATGATGGATACACGGATCGTGTTCAAATCAATAGGCACGCAATGACTCTAAAGAATAATGATCACGCCACCAAACACACATTCAAACTAAAGGAACCAGCCTGTTTGGGAAATGTGAGAAGTAGAAAGTACAGGTATTTGTGTTCAACATGTAAGAAGTAGAAAGTACAGGTGTTTGTGTTCAACATGTAAGAAGTAGAAAGTACAGGTATTTGGGTTCAACATGTGAGAAGTAGAAAGTACAGGTATTTGGGTTCAACATGTAAGAAGTAGAAAGTACAGGTATTTGAGTTCAACATGTGAGAAGTAGAAAGTACAGGTATTTGTGTTCAACATGTAAGAAGTAGAAAGTACAGGTATTTGTGTTCAACATGTGAGAAGTAGAAAGTACAGGTATTTGTGTTCAACATGTAAGAAGTAGAAAGTACAGGTATTTGTGTTCAACATGTAAGAAGTAGAAAGTACAGGTATTTGTGTTCAACATGTGAGAAGTAGAAAGTACAGGTATTTGTGTTCAACATGTAAGAAGTAGAAAGTACAGGTATTTGTGTTCAACATGTGAGAAGTAGAAAGTACAGGTATTTGGGTTCAACATGTAAGAAGTAGAAAGTACAGGTATTTGTGTTCAACATGTGAGAAGTAGAAAGTACAGGTATTTGGGTTCAACATGTAAGAAGTAGAAAGTACAGGTATTTGTGTTCAACATGTAAGAAGTAGAAAGTTCAGGTATTTGGGTTCAACATGTAAGAAGTAGAAAGTACAGGTATTTGTGATCAACATGTAAGAAGTAGAAAGTACAGGTATTTGTGATCAACATGTGAGAAGTAGAAAGTACAGGTATTTGTGTTCAACATGTAAGAAGTAGAAAGTTCAGGTATTTGGGTTCAACATGTAAGAAGTAGAAAGTACAGGTATTTGTGTTCAACATGTAAGAAGTAGAAAGTACAGGTATTTGTGTTCAACATGTAAGAAGTAGAAAGTACAGGTATTTGTGTTCAACATGTGAGAAGTAGAAAGTACAGGTATTTGGGTTCAACATGTAAGAAGTAGAAAGTACAGGTATTTGTGTTCAACATGTGAGAAGTAGAAAGTACAGGTATTTGTGTTCAACATGTGAGAAGTAGAAAGTACAGGTATTTGTGTTCAACATGTGAGAAGTAGAAAGTACAGGTATTTGTGTTCAACATGTGAGAAGTAGAAAGTACAGGTATTTGTGTTCAACATGTGAGAAGTAGAAAGTACAGGTATTTGGGTTCAACATGTAAGAAGTAGAAAGTACAGGTATTAGTGTTCAAAATGTAAGAAGTCAAAGTAAAAAGTCGTCAGAAAAATAAGTAGTGGAGTAAAGTACTGATACCAGAAAAATGTACTTAAGTAACGAAGTATTTGTACTCCACTACTTCCCACCTCTGGACTCCACGTTCTGATCATTGAAACAAAACACGAGGGTCTTTTATGTGAGCAGACGTCATGGAAACGACTCTAAAATGTTGAGAAAGTTGAAAAACAAAGTGCTTTTTAGTAATAAAAATAATGTTTTTGGAGCTTAATGTCCACGTTTTGTGTGAAATTGCCCTATATCATTATTTGTAATATAGTTTCTCATTGTAAACGTCTTTGAGTATTAGGAAAAGCGCTATACAAATCCCATGTATTATTATTATTATTATTATTATTATTATTATTATTATTATTATTATTATTATTATTATTATTATTATAATAATGACTTGTTTTCATACACTGGCCGATATGGGCTTCCACATATTTAAGAAAAGGGCAATTAGCAGCTAATTAAGGTTTTTCGATTAAATTATTTAATGTACACAAGCCTTGTTCCCACAAAAATAAATAATAGTATTGGTTTGTTGCTTCGTAATAAAGTGTTTATGACAAAAGCAACAGATTTGTAAATCTGATTTAATTAGAAAAAATGTCACAAATTGTATACCATTTATGAAGAAAAACGTTTTTAAAAATCACGTTTTAAATGTTAAATATGTTACCTTTACACAGCCCTTTATTTTTAACTGAACTTAATAATAATACACGTTAAATAAATACATTCTGTGGTTTTCTTAAGGCATGAATAAGTCTCTTTTTAGTCATTAAACGGGTAAACAACAGAATTAAAAAAGTCTGAATAAATGTTTTTAATTAAATGCATAAGAATACACTCTAAAATAAGGTGTTTTGTTTCATTAGGGGGTATATATACCTATAAATAACCGCAAAGTGGACCCATCATGTTAGAGGCTGTAAAGCTACGTAAACAAGCTAGCTGTTGACAGAAAAACAGAAATAAAGTCTCTTAATAACTAGTATTTATCACAAAGGCAACCGTTAAAGGGGACACTGATTAATTTAACTGCTAGCTTATAGAAGCAATTAATCAAATGTTTGTGGGAGTTTAAAATTGAAAATACTGATGATTATGATTTCCACCACATTGGCCTTAAAGAGCTTCCATGTGTTAAATTGATAATGACATATTTTTCATCATATTGGCATCAGTGGGCTTCCATGCGTAAAAATAACAGGTACGCAAAGTGGATTTAAACTGCGGATTAAAGGCTGAAATATACATAAATAAACGATCTGTTAAACATGACACTAAATCACATTTAAATACTGTAAAATATCTATATTCTATCTTAATAAAAAGCAGCTAATTTAATGTTATTTAATGATCCACCTGCCCTTAGCTTCACTGATGCTAACACTAGCCTCAAAGCTACTGGTTGTACCTGTATTTTCACCGGGGACACGGATTAGCTCGACCCCGCATCCATCGCCCCTTCGTCGGATAGAATCAGCCCGATGAGTCGGTGTCTTGAAAAACACCGACGCTTCTCCAAAAAAAAAAAAAAAAAAAAGGATCTGAATCCCAATCAAACCAGTTCAGCTCCAGTGAGATCCGGAGAGGACATGTCGGTTTACAGACAATGGCTTCAAATGTTCCTTTAAATGCTCCACATGGCGCTGATCGGAGCCATGGAGGAAGGTGGGGTTTTAGGGGTTTTATTTAAATTAAAATGATGAAAAGGCCGGGTTAGAGCAGCACGATGGTCGCTCTCCGGATTCAGGATGCTCTTCCCTCCGGAGTCTGACCCATTTTACTCTTTGTCCTCTGCCTGCAGGAGGGGGAGGGAAACACGGATCCTGCATCCCAAAATCTGCTCACACACTCGGTGTAATCATCCCCTCCACCCCGCTGCAAAGCACCACATCTATAGGCGTTAAAAAGCACAGTTTAAGGGTTAAAATCAAGTGCTTTATACAGAAATACGTGTTTATATAAGAGGGTTATAGAGGGGTTATCAATAATTAAAGAGGCAGGAACAATGTGGGATATGCACATAGACAATATTTGGAAATAATGATAATAAAGCAAAACGTTTCATTTGAATAATAATGAAGAAAATGGAGAAAGAAATGATATATTTAAACAAAGAAAGTAATTTACTTCTGTCTTTCAATAAAATAAAAAACATATAATACCAATAAAACCTACATAATATATTTTGTTGCAGATAAAAGATTAAATATAATAAAAGAAAAGTAATATTTAATATGGTGGTATCATTTTGATTTTTTTTTTATGTTTATAAATAATATAAAAAATATATATTCTTAATTAAAATACTGATATAAGAAAATCTAATTAAAAAATAAATAAGATAATAAATAAAATACCTCATGCAGAAATAGTGAAAGTGAGAAATGATGCATCCCAAAATCTGCTCACACACTCGGTGTAATCACCCCCTCCACCCCGAGACACGTGTTTATATAAGAGGGTTATACATTACATTACTTGTTAGACGCTTTTATCCAAAGCGACTTACATACTCAATACTGTGGGCAATCCCCACAGGAGCACTTTGGGGTGAAGTGTCTCAGGGACACAACGACATGCTGACTGCAGTGGGGTTTGAACCTGTGCTCCACCCACTGCGCCACAACGACATGCTGACTGCAGTGGGGTTTGAACCTGAGCTCCATACACTGCGCCACAACGACATGCTGACTGCAGTGGGGTTCGAACCTGAGCTCCAGTCCACTGCGCCACAGGGACACAACGACATGCTGACTGCAGTGGGGTTTGAACCTCCCAACACCAACACACTAGGCCACTGCGCCACAGAACAATGTGGGATCAGAGGGGAAATTCAATCAAAGCCAAAAATATATATTTGGTTGGAGATAAAAAATAAGTAATATTTAATAATTTGTAATGTTATTATTTATCAACACGTCTCATCATTTTGACCATTTTTAAAATAATTATAAATTAAAAAAATATATAAGGTTCATGAAAATACAGGTAAGAAAATCTGAGTCAAAATAAATAAAATAAAAATATATAAATAAAATACCTCGTGAGAAAATTATGCATTAAATTAAAGTCATTTTATTTGATTAAAAACACGTCAAAAAGCCTCTTTTCTACGTTTTTAATCAAAAATCTGGACTCAGTTTAAAATGAAAGAAAATCATTAAAATAGTTTTTTTTTAATAAATTTACTATTTTACTTTACATGTTTTAAAGTAAAATAGTAAATATTATAATATGCATTAAAAAAAAGGTACTTTTTTAATGAACTTTCTGAAAAAGAAAACTAAAAATAATTTAAAAAATAATCTTGGTTGAAAAATAAGAAATAAAATAAAATATTAAAACAAATAAATAATTTACTTTAAATAATAATAAATATAAAGGACATGGAACGAATGAAATGACATTAGGCCTTGAGAATAAGAAAGTCGCTGGTTACAGGAAATGTTTATTAAAACAACATTTTAAGGATCTTAAACAGCCACAACGAGACAAATATCTCAATACTTTTTGACTTTTTTCGCCTTAAATCGCGTTTTCTTATTGATTATAATCCAAAGTTTTCCTGGTGTTACCGCTCTCTCCTTCGTCTCTCAGTCTCTTCCTCTTCCTCGTCTGCTGAAAACACAGCAGCAGATCTCTGGAGACAAACGGAGAAACTTGTTGTATTTCAGTCCATATTTAATCGTCTTCTTCTCTCTTTACTCGATGACGCCCATCTCCACGTCCCCCTGAGCTCCCGCTGATGATTTCTTCTTCTTGTTTGTGTTCTTCTGGCTCGGAGCAGACTCCTGACTCTTCTTCTGTGGTACCGCTACTGTGGTCTCAGCTGAGGAGTAAAAAAAACGTGTTATATAGTTTAAATATTGGACTAATCGTCTGTTCAGAAGGTCTTCAATCCCTGAACCGGCACTAATCACATCACGGGGTTTTTTATTGTTTGGAAAGTTTTATTAATTTATAAAAACAGGAAACATTTTGGATTTATTATTTATTATTATCTCTGGAAAAATATTTCAATTTAGAATTTTTTTTATAATTAATTTGGAAGTTCTGTTTATTCAGCTGCCAGGGTCCTCACACGCACCAAGCGCTGGCGGCACATCACCCCCACTCCCTCCAACCCCCACTCCCTCCAACCCCCACTCTCTCCAACCCCCACTGGCTCCCGGTCAAGTCCCTCATCACCTACAAACTCCTCCTTGTCACCTACAAGTCCCTCCGTGCCCTCTCCCCTCAGTCCCTCACAGATCTCCTCCACCCATACATCCCGTCCCGCACCCTTTGATCCTCAGACTCCGGCCTGCTCTCCATTCCCCATTCACGCCTCCGCACCTTCGGGGACCAGGGTTGCGGTCGAATAGTCCAAAAATCAGCCCCTAACGTCTATCCCCTAACGTCTATCCCCATCGTCTATCCCCATCGTCTATCCCCAACGTCTATCCCCGTCGTCTATCCCCGTCGTCTATCCCCGTCGTCTATCCCCGTCGTCTATCCCCAACGTCTATCCCCGTCGTCTATCCCCAACGTCTATCCCCGTCGTCTATCCCCGTCGTCTATCCCCGTCGTCTATCCCCAACGTCTATCCCTATCGTCTATCCCTATCACTAACGTCTATCCCTAACGTCTATCCCTATCGTCTATCCCTATCGTCTATCCCTATCGTCTATCCCTAACGTCTATCCTTATCGTCTATCCCTAACGTCTATCCCTATCGTCTATCCCTAACCCTAACCCTAACGTCTATCCCTAACGTCTATCCCTAACCCTAACGTCTATCCCTAACGTCTAACCCTAACGTCTATCCCTAACCCTAACGTCTATCCCTAACGTCTATCCCTAACCCTAACGTCTATCCCTAACGTCTATCCCTAACGTCTATCCCCATCACTAACGTCTATCCCTAACGTCAATCCCTGTCGTCTATCCCCGTCGTCTATCCCCAACGTCTATCCCCATCGTCTATCCCCAACGTCTATCCCCAACGTCTATCCCCAACGTCTATCCCCATCGTCTATCCCCATCGTCTATCCCCTAACGTCTATCCCCATCGTCTATCCCCATCGTCTATCCCCATCGTCTATCCCCAACGTCTATCCCCGTCGTCTATCCCCAACGTCTATCCCCGTCGTCTATCCCCGTCGTCTATCCCCGTCGTCTATCCCCGTCGTCTATCCCCGTCGTCTATCCCCGTCGTCTATCCCCGTCGTCTATCCCCGTCGTCTATCCCCGTCGTCTATCCCCGTCGTCTATCCCCAACGTCTATCCCTATCGTCTATCCCTAACGTCTATCCCTAACGTCTATCCCTATCGTCTATCCCTATCGTCTATCCCTATCGTCTATCCCTAACGTCTATCCTTATCGTCTATCCCTAACGTCTATCCCTATCGTCTATCCCTAACGTCTATCCCTAACGTCTATCCCTAACCCTAACGTCTATCCCTAACGTCTATCCCTAACGTCTAACCCTAACGTCTATCCCTAACCCTAACGTCTATCCCTAACGTCTATCCCTAACGTCTAACCCTAACGTCTATCCCTAACCCTAACGTCTATCCCTAACGTCTATCCCTAACGTCAATCCCTGTCGTCTATCCCCAACGTCTATCCCCAACGTCTATCCCCATCGTCTATCCCCAACGTCAATCCCTGTCGTCTATCCCCAACGTCTATCCCCAACGTCTATCCCCAACGTCTATCCCCAACGTCTATCCCCATCGTCTATCCCCAACGTCAATCCCTGTCGTCTATCCCCAACGTCTATCCCCAACGTCTATCCCCGTCGTCTATCCCCGTCGTCTATCCCCGTCGTCTATCCCCGTCGTCTATCCCCGTCGTCTATCCCCGTCGTCTATCCCCAACGTCTATCCCTATCGTCTATCCCTAACGTCTATCCCTAACGTCTATCCCTATCGTCTATCCCTATCGTCTATCCCTATCGTCTATCCCTAACGTCTATCCTTATCGTCTATCCCTAACGTCTATCCCTATCGTCTATCCCTAACGTCTATCCCTAACGTCTATCCCTAACCCTAACGTCTATCCCTAACGTCTATCCCTAACGTCTAACCCTAACGTCTATCCCTAACCCTAACGTCTATCCCTAACGTCTATCCCTAACGTCTAACCCTAACGTCTATCCCTAACCCTAACGTCTATCCCTAACGTCTATCCCTAACGTCAATCCCTGTCGTCTATCCCCAACGTCTATCCCCAACGTCTATCCCCATCGTCTATCCCCAACGTCAATCCCTGTCGTCTATCCCCAACGTCTATCCCCAACGTCTATCCCCATCGTCTATCCCCAACGTCTATCCCTATCGTCTATCCCCAACGTCTATCCCCATCGTCTATCCCCATCGTCTATCCCCATCGTCTATCCCCAACGTCTATCCCTATCGTATATCCCCATCGTCTATCCCCATCGTCTATCCCCATCGTCTATCCCCATCGTCTATCCCCAACGTCTATCCCCATCGTCTATCCCCAACGTCTATCCCCAACGTCTATCCCCAACGTCTATCCCCAACGTCTATCCCCAACGTCTATCCCCAACGTCTATCCCCATCGTCTATCACTATCCCTAACGTCTATCCCTATCGTCTATCCCTATCGTCTATCCCTATCGTCTATCCCTAACGTCTATCCCCAACGTCTATCCCCATCTTCTATCACTATCCCCAACGTCTATCCCTATCGTCTATTCCTTGACCTCTGAGTGAAAGGTCACGGGGTTAAGGGATAGTGGATAAGAGAATTCAAAAGGACTTAGGAGAAGAGACTGCGGTACTTTAGAGAACCGACTGCACTTTCACTATCCAACGTGTTTATGATGCGCCAGCGGAGGTCATGAATGTGCGCCTGCTGCTGTGGGGAAACTATGGAAACTACAGTTTTCTATACAGCGGACTACAACATGGATGTTTAATAAGAACGAGGGACTACTGTAAACTCATCTAGAGACTCTGCACCGTGCTCTGATGCTGTTATGCTTTATGAACGGGGACAACAGAGAAACATATTCTTCATGACCAAAGTTGGAATTTAAATAAAAAAGGAAAGTGAAACTTATGCTCGTCACCCTCTCCCTCCGGTCCACATTAATACAAATGATCCCAATACATATGATTGTATGAAAAGATCTTAAAATCAATACAAATGTATTTATTATAAATGTAATATAATACATTATTTTATATATATATATATATATATATTATATATTTATATAGTTACAACCGGCCCTTTGAGTGCAACCTTTATGCGAACGTGGCCCGCGATGAAATTGAGTTTGACCCCCCTGCTCTAGAGAACCAGCTCTTATCATGGCTGCCACTGAGGGACTTCCGGGTCAGTTCACTCCGTCAGGAAGGGTCCTAAGAGAAACGGACTATTCGACTGCAACCCGTGCTTTCAGTGTCGCTGCCCCCCCCCCACCCCCCCCCCCCCCCCCCCCCCCCCCCGCCCTCTGGAACTCCCTTCTCTGAAGGTCTTCAAATCTACCCTGAGAACTCATCTGTTCAACATTAACTCCCCCCCCCCCCCCCCCCCGCAATGTAACACTTCAATTTCCCCCCCCCGTCTTGTTAAATGTTTCTTTGTTAAGCGACCTTGGGTTGATGAAAGGCGCTATATCAATTAGAGTTATTGTTATTGTTGTTATTGTTGTTATTTACCCTCCATGATGCTCTTCTCGTTCTGCATGTGCTGGAGCTGCTTGATCAGCTTCCTCTTCTTCTTCCCCGACAGCGTGATGTTCGCACGCGCACTCGACCTAAACAACAACAACACGTCAGCTTGGGTGTGTAGTATAATCATTTTTGGAATAATTTTAAAATACAAAAACATTTATTTTCTGAATTAAATCTATAAAAAAGATTTAACGACATTTTCAGTAAAACAGAAATAAAAAAATGTTTCTAAATTTTCATTTTTATCCAAAGATAAGAATAAAAAATTATTTAAATTTAGAAAAAATATTCAGGTTTTTTTTTAATTTTTATATAAAACATTTAATATAAATATCTGCCGCACTTCCTCTTCTTCAGGTGATGCTTGGTGATGAGTCCCGCATCCATGATGTGTCCTGTGATCAGATGCCTCTTCCTCTTCTCTCTGCTCAGAACCCGCCGACGCTTACACAGATTCCTCCTCAGCTCCTGAACAACAACAACAACAACATGAAGAGCAGCCCGTGTGAATCAGGACCTCGCTGTAGTTTATAAACCTCTGAAATAAATCAGGAGTTGATCTAGACTTCCTGTCTGTGTTTCTGCTGGACAACTAGAGACAGCTCCTGAACAACAACAACTAATGGCGCGTTTCCACTACAGCCCGCAGCCCGGTTTAAGAGGGCTGTGACGTCAGCGGCCCGTCTTTGGTTGCGTTTCCACTTGGCCTAGTACCGGCCGGCGGGTCCTAATTCACAGTTTTTCTGGCCTCATAAAATCGTGGTTCTAGGGCCAGAGACAACGAGGCTGAGTCGGGCTGAGTATGCTAAACTAGAGAGAGCATCGCTGGCAAGGGGGCAACAACTACAACAAGATGGACATATTTGACCGTGATTAAATTGTAATACACGTTTCAAAATGATGAAGTAACAACATACTGATACCGGTTAGTAACAACCATGAATTAATGCTTTGTCAAGTCTGCAGACAGACGGCAGGGGAAACACCTTTTAAAATGCGTGTTTTCTGAATGGAGATTGGCTAAGCTAACGCAGTATATGCTCCGACCGTCCACACTCACAACAACGGCCTATACAGACATAAATAAAGCAGCGACTGTATTCACCATGACACAGGCAGTCTGTGGTTTGTACTTGTTTAACTTTTGTCTAGTTTCTGAACAGATATGAGGAGCTGTGAGCTCTGAGTGCTAACAGCTAACGGCTGTGTTGTTTTTCTGGGGTTCTCATTGAAGATGACGTCACGGCTCCGCCTACACTGCGTTACTATAGTAACTACCCCAGTTCCTAAACTGTAATGGAAATGCGCCATAAAGTGAGCCAGTCCTAACGAGGCCTAGCCATACCGAGCGAGGCCGTGTAGTGGAAACGCGCCAATAGAGAGCAGCCGGTGGAGAAAAACGAGAGACTGAGGCCTTTCTCATTTCTCCAATTCACCTCCTTGACTCCTCTCTCCTCGGTTCCCCTCTCGACTCCTTGACTCCTCTCCCCTCTGTGTAGAGCGTGGGTGTTTCTCAATGTCGAGTAAAGCTGCTTCAGAGCCACTATTTCAAGCATACTACGTCATCGAGTGCCTCCGAAGTACTGTTCCAATCTCCAGCATACTTGGAAATCTACCGAGCCCGGCGTACTCCGTTTGGAGAAATATCGAGGCTGCACATGAGTAGACTCCGCGGTCTTAAAATCCCCACAATGCTTTGCGCACGGACCAATTTCCCCAAATCTGTGGTGGAAGATGTAAGAGGCGGGGCCTCTCATATGACGCACACCTGCACACTTGCTCGCCTGTTCCACTCTTTGTTTTCCAAATGGCAGGAAGTATTCTTGACTCGCTTCTGAAGCAAGATGCTCGGCAGACATGTGCTACCAAGCAAGCGTCCTCGACATTGAGAAACACCCTGAGTCTCTTCACAGAGGGGTCACATGTTGATGTAGAAGAGAAATGTGTGTATTTATGATCATTATATTATTATTATTTCGGCGATTAGATCAAATATAAATTATATTTGATGCAACTTTAGTTACATTTCCAGGTTTTTATTGACCTTGAGAAAATCAAACTAAATCCTGTGATCAATGAAATGAGTAAATCTCATCAGTTTCTAACTCTCAACATGATCAGTGAGTGGAAATGTTTGAATAGATAAAAAGTGGATGAAGCAGAATATCTGGTTCTAGTCGTGTTTGCTGTATAGAGTTAGGGTTAGGGACCTGGCCTCATTCAAACACTTTCAGGTCAAGGAAACCACTTCATAAAACACACTTTTATTATTAAGCAGAAATGTCACTAAATTAGCCAAAGCTTTTGACACTAGAATAGGTTTGTGTTCAAACAGTCATGAACAGCAGACCCTTTGATGAAGTGAACAGGAACTTTTATTATGATATTTGGGGCATTTTGTTTTATCACCTTGGATCGATTAAAGTGGGATTAAATCCACATGTTTGCTATTTTCTGAATGGCTGTCACACTCTATAGCTCCTTGCGTGTTACCTAGAGAAACACACCTTCAGAAAACACACATTTATTGTATTTTTAAGCTTCTTTTTCACTAATATTCACCAGGTTTTCACATGTAGCAACAGGAAGCTAGGTTAGCTGGTGAAGTAGCATATTGTTGTTAGCTCGTTATGCTAACAGTGGCTAGCTCTCCAGTTATAACGTATTAACATCCGGTTGAATAAACGCACTTAACGTGCTTTCAGAAGATGAAATGTGTAAAATAGAGAGAGTTTCTTACAGTTTTCGGTCTGTTTATCTTTCCTCCCGGAGCAGGCATGTTCTCACGTGGGGGAACGGTCTTCTTCTACGGTTTTAACTCCGGTCAGTCATCAGGGCTGGCAGCTCGGTGCTGCCCCCTCAGGCCGATACACGTATTACAGGCTTTATTTAGTAAAGGTAGATATTTATTTTTTGTATTTTATTGTTCTAATATTTTAAATTCTATATGAAGCAAGTGCATATAAGTCACAGAGAAGCTTGGTAAACAAATAACTAAATATACACAATTAAATAGGAATACAAACAATTGTAAAAAACGTGAAAATCTATTGCTTTTACTGATTAAATATGTTTCTTTAAATGTTTAAATATAGCCTCAGGCCGATTGACACATTACAGGCTTTATTCAGTCAATGTAGATATTTATTTCTAGTATTTTAGTATTCTAATTTTTTTTTAATTATTATAAGTGCATATAAATCATAGAGAAGCTGCTGTTTAAAATCTGTAAACAAATCCTAAAATATAATAGCCCTTCAGTGTTTCATCGCCTCCCCTACAACAAGGCAGCACAAGAGATGTTCAATTCCACCTCTGAGCACCTCTCCAGAGACGCATGGTTGGCGGCTGCTTGGAAGCAGGAGTGGGAGCTAGCCGGACCCTCCCGCATCCATCGCTACATCTGGGACCCAGGAGAGGGCGCCATAGCAGGAGACGACCTACCACGCGGGCAATGGCCCACACTAACCCGTCTACGAACTGGGGTCGGTCGCTTCAAAACATCGATGAAGAAGTGGGGCCTGGCAGACAGTGCTGCATGCGAGTGCGGTGACCCTGGGACCACCTGCCCTTTATATAGACCACCACCTGCCCTTTATATAGACCACCCTCGGAAGCCAGCAGTGCTAGACTCCTGGTGCTAGACTCCTGGTGCTAGACTCCTGGTACTAGACTCCTGGTACTAGACTCCTGGTACTAGACTCCTGGTACTAGACTCCTAGTTATAGACTCCTGGTACTAGACTCCTAGTTCTAGACTCCTGGTACTAGACTCCTGGTACTAGACTCCTGGTACTAGACTCCTGGTACTAGACTCCTAGTTATAGACTCCTGGTACTAGACTCCTGGTACTAGACTCCTAGTTCTAGACTCCTGGTGCTAGACTCCTGGTGCTAGACTCCTGGTGCTAGACTCCTGGTACTAGACTCCTGGTACTAGACTCCTGGTTCTAGACTCCTAGTTCTAGACTCCTGGTGCTAGACTCCTGGTGCTAGACTCCTGGTACTAGACTCCTAGTTATAGACTCCTGGTACTAGACTCCTAGTTCTAGACTCCTGGTACTAGACTCCTGGTACTAGACTCCTGGTACTAGACTCCTGGTACTAGACTCCTAGTTATAGACTCCTGGTACTAGACTCCTGGTACTAGACTCCTAGTTCTAGACTCCTGGTGCTAGACTCCTAGTTATAGACTCCTGGTACTAGACTCCTGGTACTAGACTCCTGGTACTAGACTCCTGGTACTAGACTCCTGGTACTAGACTCCTAGTTATAGACTCCTGGTACTAGACTCCTGGTACTAGACTCCTAGTTCTAGACTCCTGGTGCTAGACTCCTAGTTATAGACTCCTGGTACTAGACTCCTGGTACTAGACTCCTAGTTCTAGACTCCTGGTGCTAGACTCCTAGTTATAGACTCCTGGTACTAGACTCCTGGTACTAGACTCCTGGTACTAGACTCCTAGTTATAGACTCCTGGTACTAGACTCCTGGTACTAGACTCCTAGTTCTAGACTCCTGGTGCTAGACTCCTAGTTATAGACTCCTGGTACTAGACTCCTAGTTATAGACTCCTGGTGCTAGACTCCTGGTACTAGACTCCTGGTTCTAGACTCCTGGTGCTAGACTCCTGGTGCTAGACTCCTAGTACTAGACTCCTGGTTCTAGACTCCTGGTGCTAGACTCCTGGTTCTAGAGTCCTGGTGCTAGACTCCTAGTTCTAGACTCCTGGTGCTAGACTCCTGGTACTAGACTCCTGGAACTAGACTCCTGGTTCTATAGTCCTGGTGCTAGACTCCTGGTTCTAGACTCCTGGTGCTAGACTCCTGGTTCTAGAGTCCTGGTGCTAGACTCCTAGTTCTAGACTCCTGGTTCTAGACTCCTGGTGCTAGACTCCTGGTGCTAGACTCCTGGTACTAGAGTCCTGGTGCTAGACTCCTGGTTCTAGACTCCTAGTTCTAGACTCCTGGTGCTAGACTCCTAGTTCTAGACTCCTAGTTCTAGACTCCTGGTGCTAGACTCCTGGTTTTTAGACTCCTAGTTCTAGACTCCTGGTGCTAGACTTCTGGTACTAGACTCCTAGTTCTAGACTCCTGGTGCTAGACTCCTAGTACTAGACTCCTGGTGCTAGACTCCTGGTGCTAGACTCCTAGTTCTAGACTCCTGGTGCTAGACTCCTAGTACTAGACTCCTGGTACTAGACTCCTGGTGCTAGACTCCTAGTTCTAGACTCCTGGTGCTAGACTCCTGGTGCTAGACTCCTGGTGCTAGACTCCTGGTTCTAGACTCCTAGTTCTAGACTCCTGGTGCTAGACTCCTGGTTCTAGACTCCTAGTTCTAGACTCCTGGTGCTAGACTCCTGGTGCTAGACTCCTGGTGCTAGACTCCTGGTGCTAGACTCCTGGTTCTAGACTCCTAGTTCTAGACTCCTGGTACTAGACTCCTGGTGCTAGACTCCTGGTTCTAGACTCCTAGTTCTAGACTCCTAGTTCTAGACTCCTGGTGCTAGACTCCTGGTTCTAGACTCCTAGTTCTAGACTCCTGGTGCTAGACTCCTGGTACTAGTCTCCTGGTGCTAGACTCCTAGTTCTAGACTCCTAGTTCTAGACTCCTGGTGCTAGACTCCTGGTTCTAGACTCCTAGTTCTAGACTCCTGGTGCTAGACTCCTGGTACTAGACTCCTGGTGCTAGACTCCTGGTTCTAGACTCCTAGTTCTAGACTCCTGGTGCTAGACTCCTAGTTCTAGACTCCTAGTTCTAGACTCCTGGTGCTAGACTCCTGGTTCTAGACTCCTAGTACTAGACTCCTGGTACTGGACTCCTGGTACTAGACTCCTAGTACTAGACTCCTGGTGCTAGACTCCTGGTGCTAGACTCCTAGTTCTAGACTCCTGGTGCTAGACTCCTGGTGCTAGACTCCTGGTTCTAGACTCCTAGTTCTAGACTCCTGGTGCTAGACTCCTGGTGCTAGACTCCTAGTTCTAGACCCCTGGTGCTAGACTCCTGGTTCTAGACTCCTAGTTCTAGACTCCTAGTTCTAGACTCCTAGTTCTAGACTCCTAGTTCTAGACTCCTGGTGCTAGACTCCTGGTGCTAGACTCCTAGTTCTAGACCCCTGGTGCTAGACTCCTGGTTCTAGACTCCTAGTTCTAGACTCCTAGTTCTAGACTCCTAGTTCTAGACTCCTAGTTCTAGACTCCTGGTGCTAGACTCCTGGTGCTAGACTCCTAGTTCTAGACTCCTAGTACTAGACTCCTGGTGCTAGACTCCTGGTGCTAGACTCCTGGTACTAGACTCCTAGTTCTAGACTCCTAGTACTAGACTCCTGGTGCTAGACTCCTGGTGCTAGACTCCTAGTACTAGACTCCTGGTGCTAGACTCCTGGTGCTAGACTCCTAGTTCTAGACTCCTAGTACTAGACTCCTGGTGCTAGACTCCTGGTGCTAGACTCCTAGTACTAGACTCCTGGTGCTAGACTCCTGGTGCTAGACTCCTAGTTCTAGACTCCTGGTGCTAGACTCCTAGTACTAGACTCCTGGTACTAGACTCCTGGTGCTAGACTCCTAGTTCTAGACTCCTGGTGCTAGACTCCTGGTGCTAGACTCCTAGTTCTAGACTCCTGGTGCTAGACTCCTGGTACTAGACTCCTGGTACTAGACTCCTAGTACTAGACTCCTAGTTCTAGACTCCTGGTACTAGACTCCTGGTGCTAGACTCCTAGTTCTAGACTCCTGGTGCTAGACTCCTGGTGCTAGACTCCTAGTACTAGACTCCTAGTTCTAGACTCCTGGTGCTAGACTCCTAGTTCTAGACTCCTGGTACTAGACTCCTGGTGCTAGACTCCTAGTTCTAGACTCCTGGTGCTAGACTCCTGGTGCTAGACTCCTAGTTCTAGACTCCTGGTGCTAGACTCCTAGTACTAGACTCCTAGTACTAGACTCCTGGTGCTAGACTCCTGGTACTAGACTCCTGGTGCTAGACTCCTGGTGCTAGACTCCTGGTACTAGACTCCTGGTGCTAGACTCCTGGTACTAGACTCCTGGTGCTAGACTCCTAGTTCTAGACTCCTGGTGCTAGACTCCTAGTACTAGACTCCTAGTTCTAGACTCCTGGTACTAGACTCCTGGTGCTAGACTCCTAGTTCTAGACTCCTGGTGCTAGACTCCTGGTGCTAGACTCCTAGTACTAGACTCCTAGTTCTAGACTCCTGGTGCTAGACTCCTAGTTCTAGACTCCTGGTACTAGACTCCTGGTGCTAGACTCCTAGTTATAGACTCCTGGTACTAGACTCCTGGTGCTAGACTCCTAGTTCTAGACTCCTGGTGCTAGACTCCTGGTGCTAGACTCCTAGTTCTAGACTCCTGGTGCTAGACTCCTGGTACTAGACTCCTGGTGCTAGACTCCTGGTGCTAGACTCCTGGTACTAGACTCCTGGTGCTAGACTCCTGGTACTAGACTCCTGGTGCTAGACTCCTGGTACTAGACTCCTGGTGCTAGACTCCTAGTTCTAGACTCCTGGTGCTAGACTCCTGGTGCTAGACTCCTAGTTCTAGACTCCTGGTGCTAGACTCCTGGTGCTAGACTCCTAGTTCTAGACTCCTGGTTCTAGACTCCTGGTGCTAGACTCCTGGTGCTAGACTCCTGGTGCTAGACTCCTAGTTCTAGACTCCTGGTGCTAGACTCCTGGTGCTAGACTCCTAGTTCTAGACTCCTGGTTCTAGACTCCTGGTGCTAGACTCCTGGTACTAGACTCCTGGTGCTAGACTCCTGGTACTAGACTCCTGGTGCTAGACTCCTAGTTCTAGACTCCTGGTGCTAGACTCCTGGTGCTAGACTCCTAGTTCTAGACTCCTGGTTCTAGACTCCTGGTGCTAGACTCCTGGTGCTAGACTCCTGGTGCTAGACTCCTAGTTCTAGACTCCTGGTGCTAGGATGGGTTAACAGCAGAGAACACATGTCACTGTGTGCTCTGCATGTGAGAGCATTAAAGAGGGTTTCATCCCTCCCTATTCTATCTAGAAAGTGAGATTAAAGAGACGTGAGACTGCGAGGAGGATTCTGTCAAATGTTTAATCCGTTCAGTACAGGGTGTTTATCTCAGTGCAAGAGCCAAAACCAACACATATCGAGCCGTTTGGTTTGTGTACAGAGAGTTTGAGAAGCAGAGCATGTGGTGGAAACAGAGGCAGCGGGACTCAAACACTAAATAAAATAACAAACCATTTTTATCAGAAAACATCCGAAAAATCAGCAGCGAGAAATAAAAAAACTGAACAAAAACACAAAGAGACGACCGTCGATTTTTCTTCATTTCATTCAACAACAAAAAACGTAATGGTATATATACTTATATTTATATATCTAAAGTGCATTATGGTACAAAAATATAGAAGGTCAGCAGCACCCCGATACATTTAGAAAAATAAATACACCATTCAGACAAAATAAATTACCAAGAAGCAAAGGATTCACAAAGAGTAACATCTGTCGCCTCGCAGCGCAAACTTTCATCGTCTATCTATTCTGATATATTTAGAATATTTACACACAATAAATATTTTCCAATTTCTTTCCAAATAATCACGTTCACAGAGAAACTGCAGCGTGAGAATTTAGGAGTCGAGTGTCCGCAGGTTTCTGAAACACAGAGAGGGAGAAATACATTAAATCACAGTTTTTATAAATAGATATAATTCTAAATAATAATTAAGATGCAAAACTATAATATATCGTATTTATTTTGTTGCTAAATATCCTTTGAAATGGATTTGAAAGAATTACATAAAAAATACAGTGTTTCTAGACCGAAAGACAACGTTCCTTTAAGCACATTGAGATTTTTTATTTTATTTTAAAGAGTGATTTTAAAGCTTAAAACCCTTTAAAGTGTTGATTTATTTTAAAATAAACTAAAAGCCATATTTTTCCTGTTAATCTTTGACTTTTTAAAAATTATTATTTACCAGAAAATCCAAGGTTTATTCAAAATACATTTGCTGATATTTTCTGATATGTAACGTAGATGCTGCCTTCAGGGTCTCCTAAATAAAGTAGTAAATCTCATGTCTCTCACCTGTGTCAGAGTTTGACAGCGTTTCACTTCCTCTGCAGTCCGAGCAGCGTTTTCCACTCCAACCCTTTTCCACTGCCTCCATCTTCTTCCTCTCTCCTCTTCCTCCCCCCTCTTCCTCCCTCCTCTTCCTCCCTCCTCTTCCTCGTCCCTCCTCCCAGTGATCTTTCCCTCCTCTTCCTCTTCTCCTCCGCTCCTCCTCTCCTCCTTCCTCCTCTCCCTTTCTTCTTCTTTTTCCCTCTCGGAGATTTGTTCGTTTCCTGTGGGAGATTTTCTTTTCCCTTTTCCTCTCCCTCCCTGAAGATGAGGGGGAGGTTCTTGGTTCCCCCCGGGGGTTTTGAGTGCATGGTTTCTCCCGTGGTGCTCACCCCCCCTCCCTCGGTGCTGGTTCCTCCCCCTCCAGATGGGGGAGGGCGGGGGGGAAGATCTCTGGTTTCTGCAGTGTGAACTTCATCCAGAAGCTCCTGAAGCCACATCCTCCTCTTCAGGTCCTGCAGAGAGCGACCCTTATCGTGCATCAGCTGGGCGTGAGACACCGAGCGCTTTCTGAGGGGCAGACGGACAGGAAAGGGTTAATACAATTTACAGAGTTCCTTAAAGTAGACTTTTCTTTCTGCAAAAAATACAGAATATTTTATTTAATTCTGCAAAAAAACACTCAAAATACATATTATTAAATACAAATTATAATATTAAATTGAATTGTTTAGTCAGCAATAAGTGCATGGGAAATATGAATAAATTAGACTTTTGTTCTGTAAAAAACGAATATTTATTAAATTAGAAATATAGAATTTCCCTTAAATTTGACTTTTTCTTTTACTGCAAAACAATCAAACCGACTTTTTGATCAAATGAGGCATTTCTGTAGAAAACAGATATTATTTATTACTTTAGAAAATTATATAAAACTCGTTCTTGCCTTCAAAAAGCCCACAGGATATTTCATAGTTGAGACTTTACAGAATGAGCTCTGGGAGGTGTTGAGTAACTTCCATCTGATCTCAGGTCGCTGGGTTTCAGTTTCTTTTTAGTAACACGTTTATATTTTTATTACATTTTTAAAACTTCTGTCAGGCCCCAGCGAGAATTGAACTCGCGACCCCTGGTTTACAAGACCAGTGCTCTAACCACTGAGCTATGGAGCCTGGGTGACTTTAAGCCACGCCCATTACAGATTTACGCGCTCATGGAAATCACTACAGTAAACACACTAGCTACATTAGGAAATAGAAGACATTTAAAAAAACCTTTCAGTCGGAAGAAACCCTACAAACAGTGTGCGAATCTCTCTCTCTCTCTCTCTCTCTCTCTCTCTCTCTCTCTCTCTCCGGTATACCGTATATTGCGCAATAAACGGGAGATGGGGACCCCCCCCCCAGTCTAGGAAGTATACTGGACTAAAACTCCCACTGTACATTTCACATTTATGTTCAATCTAATATTTAATATTCCACTCCTCACACACTAAATATATAATATCCTGCTTATATGTTGTTTCTGTACATTTGTATTTCAACATGTTCATTTTCAACTTTTTTAATGCTATGTTTTTTCTATTTTAGATGTTTACATTTTGCATTGTTTATTTCTAGTCTTTTAATTTCTATAATGTGCAACGCCTTATCTTTTTATGCTGCTGCAACGCAAACATTTCCCACATTGGGATCAATAAAGTACTTCTTATAAGTTATCTTATCTTATTCCTACTTTAAAAAAAAAAAATGTGTGAGTCAGGCCCCAGCGAGAATTGAACTCGCGACCCCTGGTTTACAAGACCAGTGCTCTAACCCCTGAGCTATGGAGCCTGGGTGCTACTGAGCTACGCCTACATCCTATTTAAAGAGCCACGTCATCACTACTGTAGTCACTACTGGGTAGTACAAATAAGAAGCAGTTAATGTAAGATAGTTATTATTATCTTATATATAACATTTCAAGACCACGAGGAGCTGTAGCAGTATTTAAACTCTCTAAAGAAGAAGAGGTTTAAATGCTGTACAAATCCTAATGGTGTTTGGCGCAGAACGACCACAAGGGGGTGCTGTCTGCACATACAACCTCATCACACCTCACTGAAATGTTTCTACAATTTGCATGAATTAACCAGCTTGTGCTTATGTTTTTAAAGGCATAATAAAGTTGTATTTAAGATGGAAAATGTATTATTTTAAAACAAAGCCATGAGGAGGTTAAGGCAGGGTTTCAACTCACAACCTCTGGGTTACAATATATCTGTACAAATCATAAGGCCATCCAAAAACACTGAAAACGTGACCAACACTTAAATGAATGTTCCTACATTTTCAGGTGTCATTTGTGTAATGTACCACATGGCACAAAGAGACCACAAGAGGGCGCTGTCAGCACAGAACACATCTCACTCAACTCCATTTAAAATGTGTTAAGGCGGCAAAAAGGACTCAAAACCAGTGGGAGATTAAGATGAAGTACATTTACTAAAGTGCTGAACTACTTTACAGTTTGGAGGTACTTTATTTATATTAGCAGGTTTAGGAAGCCGGTATGACTCTTTAAAGTAGAGAGGACTCTTTAAAGTAGAGACACTACATACTGATATACACCTGAACATCAGCAGGAGAGGACTCTTTAAAGTAGAGACACTACATACTGATATACACCTGAACATCAGCAGGAGAGAACTCTTTAAAGTAGAGACACTACATACTGATATACACCTGAACATCAGCAGGAGAGGACTCTTTAAAGTAGAGACACTACATACTGATATACACCTGAACATCAGCAGGAGAGGACTCTTTAAAGTAGAGACACTACATACTGATATACACCTGAACATCAGCAGGAGAGAACTCTTTAAAGTAGAGACACTACATACTGATATACACCTGAACATCAGCAGGAGAGGACTCTTTAAAGTAGAGACACTACATACTGATATACACCTGAACATCAGCAGGAGAGGACTCTTTAAAGTAGAGACACTACATACTGATATACACCTGAACATCAGCAGGAGAGAACTCTTTAAAGTAGAGACACTACATACTGATATACACCTGAACATCAGCAGGAGAGGACTCTTTAAAGTAGAGACACTACATACTGATATACACCTGAACATCAGCAGGAGAGGACTCTTTAAAGTAGAGACACTACATACTGATATACACCTGAACATCATCAGGAGAGGACTCTTTAAAGTAGAGACACTCTACAGCGGGAGAGAACTCTTTAAAGAGGTCAGTAATATCCTCCTGAGCTGCCGTCTGTTTTTCTGCATACAGATATTTCCTGTTCTTTGAAAAGTGAACTCTTTAAAGTTGAACTTCAAACACAGAGGAACTTCCTGCTGGTTTTTCACCTCAGTTTTTCTCCAACACAAAAAAAGTTTCAGAAAAATAAAAACGACAACTCTCTGAATCTGTATGAAGACTAAATGGGAAATATGCACGATATTGCAAGCATGAAATGTGTCTATAAGGTTAAAAAAACATGTAATTTTTCTCTCAAATGTCCAGTTAAACTTCAGAGAAGATGACATGTTCTCTTTTGATCAAATAAATGCTGATTTGAATCCAATATTTTTAACATTTTCCACGTTTTTATTTAAAAATGTCCAACATTTTTGGTGGATTTGGTAGAAGTCTTCCTGCATTTAAACCTGGAAACGTCTAATATTTAAGTTTTTGGTTCAGAAAGGAGCATCTAGTTGGTTTTATTTCTATCTTTTATTAAATAATCCACTTTTCATTTTAGATTTCTACATTTTAAACCACTTTAAAGTCCTTTTTTGAGGAAAATAAGAGATAAATATAATCCCTAAATGCCAAGAAACTGATAATTTGATCAATACAATGTCAGAAAATGTGTTGTTTTTTTAACCAATAGTGACTTCTTATTGAACCAGGTAACTTTGAACTACTTCAGATTTGTTTAATTATTATTATTTTAGACAAACTTCTTGAATGTTTTGGTTTATTTAGTGAGAAAAACAGAAAACATGTTTTAAAATATATTTGTAACCAATGTTCACAACATTTAAATTAGATTTTTTGAGTTTGATAAATTAGGTCTTGAATGTGGAAATTATTTTATATTTAAAATATATTATTTTATGGACGGAATGTTTAAGTTTGGGCTTTTTTTGCAAGAATAAAATGCTTAAAAATCGAGTTTATTCCTCAGGATTTAGCTTCTGAACCCTAACTAAGACATCATGTGTAAATAAAGGCACAGAAATACTGGAGATTCAAAACTATTTTTTTAACGGATGCATCGAGGATTTTAAATATATATATATTTAAAATAGGGAGGCGTGTGGCGCAGTGGGTTGTGCGTTGGTGTTAGGATCAGGGGGGCACAGGTTCAAACCCCACTGCAGTCAGCATGTCGTTGTGTCCCTGAGACACTTCACCCCAAAGTGCTCCTGTGGGGATTGTCCACAGTATTGAGTATGTAAGTCGCTTTGGATAAAAGCGTCTAACATGTAATGTTAAAAACTTACATTCTGCTGCTGACGGCATCGATGGGGCGACCGGTGACCGGAGAGCAGAGCAAGAAGAGAGCGAAGATCCACTGCTGCAGGAAACTCATCCTACACACACACACACACACACACACACTTCATCAGAAGCTGCAGGGGATCAAACACCTCATCACTTTCCCCTCGTTAAATCTTGCAGACTTCACTTCTTGCACGTCTTTATTTCTGCAGTTTAACAACTTCTTATTTTAATGCGATAAGTGCCAAACACAAGTTGTCGCATAAAAGTAGACAAATATTTGCTTTTAGGGCAAAAACACAGGCTGAAAATCATCGAAACGGATCAAATTTGGTGTAAAAAGTCAAGAAATTGTGAAAAATGACACAAGAATAAGTCTTGGGTTATGTGTTAAAAATGTCATTTTCTGTCAGTAAAATAAGAAATAAATACAGGTCATTGTAAATATCTGACTTTATATCCATAAGCTGTCAGAAAAAGCTCCAAAAAATAATTTCTACATCAAAACTTTGGAGTTTAAAACGACAGAAATATTGAAAAAAGTCAGTGAAATGTCAAATAAGACATCAAATGCTGCAAAAAGTATTTATGATATGAACATGTTGGTGTTTAAAGTGACAGAAATGTCAGTAAAAAACGGACCATTTCCCCTTTATTATAAATATTGTATTTTATCCTCAAATCTGACACCAAGTCTCTCAGCTGTCAAAAAAAGCACTAAAAGTATTTCTTATTAATATTCTGTTTTTCAAAATCTCCATCCAAGTTTCTATAAGCGACTTTGGGATTTTAAATATTTTATGTTATTATTAAAAAAAGTCTCAAAGTGATTAAGAGGCGAGTCTGCGCAGAAACACGACCACATGTCAGATTCCTAATGAAGCAGCTCTGAAGTGCTCCAACATAAATAAAGACATTTCAAGAAAGATGCAATGAAGAAAGAGAAGAAGAAGCAGCTGCCGGAATAAGAGCAGTAGAAGAAGTGTTACTGGGACACTTACTTTCCCACAGCAGGGTTTTTTTATCCAAAAATAATTCACTTTGAGTCCTTTTTTTCTCCAACTTCCACAAATAAAGTCCAGGTGAGGAAAATTAAATGAAATGAAATCTCCACGAGTCGAAACACATCCAGGAGGTCAGAGTACGTCCTCGTTTGAAAACAGATGGGGAAGGAGAAGAAGAGATAGAAGAAGGAGAAGAAGAAGAAAAAGAGTCCTCCAGGTGTGCCGCCTCAGGTCGGTGTGAGGAGAAACTGAAGCAGGAGGAGAAAGGACGAGGAGCTACAAGGGGGAGGAGCCACAGGGGGAGGGGCTACACGGGGGAGGGGCTACAACAACTGAGGAAGAGGAGGAGCGGCAGGAAGGTGGCAGAGCGGCACCAGGAGAAGAGTTTAAGATTTAACAGAAGACAACTAAAAGTAAAGAGGTACGGAGGTCCATTAGTGCCAAAAACACTGCTCACGGAAGGAGATGCGTCTAGTGTTTAATACTGGGATGTCAGGAATCCATCCCTTAAGATTAGAGGACAGCAAATAAAAACAACACAATAAATAAAAAATGCATGAAGACAAAAACATTTTTGATAAAAAGATGGAGGTACGGAGGTCCATTAGTGCCAAAGACACTGCACATTCTTCCCTTAAGATAAGACAACAAATGAAAACAAAACAACAACATTGTGTTTGTTTGAGGTTAAAAGACTGACAGAAGAAACCAAACCTATGGGAGTCAATTAGTGACCACACTATCGAAATTCAAAATGTATTAATTGTAGAAATTGCTTCTTTATTTTCATGTCAACAAACTCATGTTGTTGTTTTTTTATCTACATAAAGGTATTTCGTCTGAACTGGATTTTTTTTTGAGACACATGATTAGAAACCAGATTCTCTTAATTAACGTAAGAAGTGACGTACAACCGGTAAATAATGAGCTTTTATGCTGCTCTTGTCTTCCGTAAAAAGACTTCCGATGGTCGTTTATTCTGAATTAATGACTGGACTAAATACGTCACTGTCCCCGTCGATGTTGTTTATTTGAGCGTCCGTAACGACTATAAATAAAGTTCCTCAGACGAAGCGTTCATGATGCCGATCAGCTGATCCCTCTGATTGTAATGAACTGATCTCGTTAACACGGGTCGTTAAAGCAGATCTGATGTGATCGTGTTAATTGGGACTTCAGGCTATGCTACATTAGCCTCGAGCTATAAAAAGCACCAAATGAACTGGAATATTCTTCTGGAAAAATACATTTAAGGGTTAATTAAATCTGTGAATTGGTCCCGAACAAAAAGCAGGTAATGACCCGACGATGACCCGACGATGACCCGGTCGTTACACAACAACTGAAGTTTCCTGTGTTTCTCTTGTGTCTCGAACGCGTCTCCAAGCTGCGTTTAAAACTCACAATCGTCTATTTTTTCCGAGTTATTATTGAACGGTTACCTTTATATTTGTATGAATATTTTACGGATTTACTACCAGCTAGCGTAGATGCATGCAAGACAACAACGTTAGCAAGAAAACACGAGCAAAGACTCACTACCAACTACTTTAAAAGAGACGTGTAGGGCGGCATGACGCACCATAACACAGCTCTTTAAAGGCCCATCTGTGAGGATTCTCAGGCATATTTTCATACAAAACCAGCAGCAAACCTGTTAAGATCAGCTGACAGCAGCATAACACTCTGCCCTGCAGTTATCCTCTGCACATGCTACACGCTAACACCAGGTTTCATGAACATTGGGCTTGTTTTACCACACTCAAATCAGGCGTAAAACATAAAGAAACACGGACATTAAATACAAGTTTCCTGAGTTAACCTCCACGCGGGACCTCAAACACCGCAGCGCTGACGGACACGTGTTGAAGACCTGAAATGTGTTCCAGCTGTCGCCTCACAATTAAAGCCAGACACACACACACACACACACACACACACACACACACACACACACACACACACACACACACACACACACACACACACACACACACACACACACACACACACAGCGCGAGCAGCAGCGTTTCACACGACGGAGATTTATGTGTAATTATGATCTGAGTTTTTTATTTGTTTCCCAGACGGCGTGTTTAGAAACAACAGACGTGTGATTAATGTGAATTACATCTCATCCAGGCGACTTCACACAAAGACCTTTGTTTCTTTTACTCTTTTGAAGTCAAACAATAAGACGATTGATTTGGGTTTTTCCGGAGTAATGGTACGGAGGCCGACAGGTGCCAACGCGCTGCAACAAAACTGTGATATTCTGCAGCTTCAGGAAGGATGCAGATATTAAAACCCAAATGTTCCTCATGTAGAAACATCTCCAGCAACATCACGTGCAGCTTTTAGAGAACATTCAGCAACTTGAGGAAACTTTTAGCATTTACTAAAAGCTGCAGAAACCAAACGCTGCAAATACAAAACGCTGTAACGATTACAGAGACGCTTTCCTCTAAGGACATTATTCACACGTCTGCTTGGACCCTAAGAATACTGAAAAGGAGATGCAAAATGAGGACAATTCCTACAATGCATCCAAAGACAATCAAAACAACTCAAGTTTAAACCCCAACAAAAATATGCAAAATGAATTTAAAATCCTGCAGAGATGTAATCAGTTGTTTCATGACATGTTGTATAAATATGCTTTTTAAAGTTTACTTTCTTTGATTTGTCTCTTTTTAGATGCTGCTTTATAACAAAGTAGTGAACGGAGACTGTGGCTCAGTGGGTAGTGTGCTGGTCTTTGAATCAGGGGATAGCAGGTTCAAACCCCACTGCAGTCAGCATGTCGTTGTGTCCCTGAGACACTTCACCCCAAAGTGCTCCTGTGGGGATTATCCACAGTACTGAGTATGTAAGTCTCTTTGGATAAAAGCGTCTAACATGTAACATGTGATGTGATGTAGTGAACGGGCCATCGTGCGGACGCCTTTTGTCCAACGGCCCGTTTTCATGTAAACTGTAGAAATAAAACTTGAACTACAGAAACATTTTGATTTGATTCTGTGCAAAATCTCTTACGTAAATCACTCAGTTAAGAGTGTCATACTTAAGGGGAAACTTTATGGGTTTTTTGGGTCCACTTTAAAAGGCCGAGCCCACCAGGAAAATGCCCTAACATGTATTCAAACCCACCATAAAAAGATGCAGAACAGCCGCTGAGATGAAATCAGTTTTTTCTCTCATTACATTTTATATAAAGTGCTTTTTTGTGTCTCTTTTTGATCCTGTTTGAAAAGCTTTTTTTTGTTGATTCTGTGCAAACACTCTCAGTAAATCACTAAATCAAGAGTGTCTTACTTAAAGGGAAACTTTGTGTTTTTTTGTCCCCTAACACACGGCCTTTTGTCCGCCATGTTTGTTTGGGTCCACTCTGCGTCCTGATGCAACACGATAGTCCTGATGCAACACGATAGTCCTGATGCAACACGATAGTCCTGATGCAACACGATAGTCCTGATGCAACACGATAGTCCTGATGCAACACGATAGTCCTGATGCAACACGATAGTCCTGATGCAACACGATAGTCCTGATGCAACACGATAGTCCTGATGCAACACGATAGTAGATATGTATCAGGTTTCCTACAGCACTCAGTGTGTTTCTCTTTTCCTCGATGATCTCAAACATGTGATGCACTCTTTACAGAAATAGCTCCTCTTAAAGGTCACGCTTTCAACACAATGAACACATTATTTGTAAAATACGGAGTCTGCCAACGTGGTGATGCAACGAGAAATCACTGCCTCTCCTTTCATTCATTTCTAACAGTTGCTTTCCAACACTGGAACAAATGCTGCTCCAAAAACAAGTTCAAACTATAATGAAGGCGAGATGTCTTCACGAGAAGGCGAGGTGTCTTCACGTGAAGGCGAGGTGTCTTCACGTGAAGGCGAGGTGTCTTCACGAGAAGGCGAGGTGTCTTCACGTGAAGGCGAGGTGTCTTCAAGTGAAGGCGAGGTGTCTTCACGTGAAGGCGAGGTGTCTTCACGAGAAGGCGAGGTGTCTTCACGTGAAGGCGAGGTGTCTTCACGAGAAGGCGAGGTGTCTTCACGTGAAGGCGAGGTGTCTTCACGTGAAGGCGAGGTGTCTTCACGAGAAGGCGAGGTGTCTTCACGAGAAGGCGAGGTGTCTTCAAGTGAAGGCGAGGTGTCTTCACGTGAAGGCGAGGTGTCTTCAAGTGAAGGCGAGGTGTCTTCACGAGAAGGCGAGGTGTCTTCAAGTGAAGGCGAGGTGTCTTCACGTGAAGGCGAGGTGTCTTCAAGTGAAGGCGAGGTGTCTTCACGAGAAGGCGAGGTGTCTTCAAGTGAAGGCGAGGTGTCTTCACGTGAAGGCGAGGTGTCTTCACGAGAAGGCGAGGTGTCTTCACGTGAAGGCGAGGTGTCTTCACGAGAAGGCGAGGTGTCTTCACGAGAAGGCGAGGTGTCTTCACGAGAAGGCGAGGTGTCTTCACGAGAAGGCGAGGTGTCTTCACGAGAAGGCGAGGTGTTTTCACGTGAAGGCGAGGTGTCTTCACGTGAAGGCGAGGTGTCTTCACGAGAAGGCGAGGTGTCTTCACGAGAAGGCGAGGTGTCTTCACGAGAAGGCGAGGTGTCTTCACGAGAAGGCGAGGTGTCTTCACGAGAAGGCGAGGTGTCTTCACGAGAAGGCGAGGTGTCTTCACGAGAAGGCGAGGTGTCTTCACGTGAAGGCGAGGTGTCTTCACGTGAAGGCGAGGTGTCTTCACGTGAAGGCGAGGTGTCTTCACGTGAAGGCGAGGTGTCTTCACGAGAAGGCGAGGTGTCTTCACGTGAAGGCGAGGTGTCTTCACGAGAAGGCGAGGTGTCTTCACGAGAAGGCGAGGTGTCTTCACGTGAAGGCGAGGTGTCTTCACGTGAAGGCGAGGTGTCTTCACGAGAAGGCGAGGTGTCTTCACGAGAAGGCGAGGTGTCTTCACGAGAAGGCGAGGTGTCTTCACGAGAAGGCGAGGTGTCTTCACGAGAAGGCGAGGTGTCTTCACGAGAAGGCGAGGTGTCTTCACGAGAAGGCGAGGTGTCTTCACGTGAAGGCGAGGTGTCTTCACGTGAAGGCGAGGTGTCTTCACGTGAAGGCGAGGTGTCTTCACGTGAAGGCGAGGTGTCTTCACGTGAAGGCGAGGTGTCTTCACGTGAAGGCGAGGTGTTTTTTCTTCTTATTCTTATTTATTGAACTAAGAAGGGATATT